TTTTGTGCATTAAATTCTTCCCTTCTTTTGCATATATTTTTTACCAAAAAAATCGATCGATCATGTCTCTGTGTGTGATTCGTTGCTGTCATTTTGAGTTCGTTGAAATTATTGAAGTTTGAGGTACCACTACTTCTTTAATGGTTAATCCATTTTATCTTGAGAGGAATTAATCTACAACCTCGGGTACTTGAGGGGATTAAATTTCTTAAGGACAAAGTGTGTTTTGTGGACTCGGATTGTTCTTTTCTTTTTCACTTCATCTTTTATTATTTCTGGTCTTCTAATCTGAATATAGGAGATAACACCGATTCTTCTAAAAGTAATAGTTGTCATGCCCCAAGCCTACACCATGGACGTGGCCAACACTTGAGAACCATCGCTGGTCTCGAAGCGAACCCTTGGCCTTGCTCACTACTCAGTGGAAGACTTACTCAAGGGAAATAGGAACTCAATACAAAGATTAACTCTCAAGGGCTCAATAATAGCCTAACTCAATAACGGAAAGTATTTAAATAACATAAGTACTAAATTCAATGTCTCAAAGGAACATAAACAAGGGAAAACATGAAAAGACTCCTCAACTACTATTGTCTGTGAAGCCTCTAAATAATACAATGGATGTCGGGACAAGACCTCGACAACCTAAAAAGAAGAAAATAATAATGTGAAGCCCTACGGAAAGCAGGATCAACGAAGCACATATTGATGACCCTGAACACCTGGATCTGCATCATAAATAAGATACATGTCGAATGAAGTCAGTACATTGAATGTACGAGCATTTAAAGGGAAAGATGAAACATAAGAAACTGAACTGATACTCTGAGAAGACATACTTACTTCATGTCACATCAAATGTGAAAGCAACAATAAAAGATGCAATATATAAAGCTTTCAAAAGAGTATATATCAACTCAATATGTATAAAAAAAAAACTTTGTACTCTTATTTGAGAGATTCTCTAACCAACAATCATCACTATGAGCTACGTGATGATTCAACGTCTCGCCCATGCTGCCAAAACTGTCCTATACCTTTTTGGGGTATAGAACACCTCAATTAAGTTGATTCACTAAGCTATGCTTAAGAGTAATAAGGAATCATCTAAAAAGTATGACCCTTTTACCCATGTTGGCATACATGGTTTATGAGGATTTTGAATTGTCTGGACGCATCCCTATATCGGTGCTCAATACTACTCCCAACAATATATAACTCATGCTCAAATGTTTGAAAACATAATTCTTTCTGAAACTGAGATAATTACTCAAAAGATCCTCTTAAAAGAGGAGATACTCAAGACTCTTCATAAACTCATTTAGAAATCAATGTTTCTCTCGTTTTAAATATAAAAGTATTACATACTTGGGAATAATTAGTTTCCGTATACTCATTTTGAAACATTAAACTGAAATCTCCTCATTCTCATACTCATTCACTAAAATCTTACTTCAAGTTATAGATAATTGCAAAAGACTTCTCAGAAGGACTTTCTTACACATTCTTATTAACTTTACCTTCATTTGAAAATGTAAATTAAGAGACGTGATTAGGATATATAAGATCTCTCAAGAAATAAGGATATTTTAAGTATGGATATCAAGGAGAGAACATAGGTACGATTCGAGGAACACACACAGAAATAAAGAAAGAAGGGTAAGGGACCTGGCGACCCTGGCACACAAAGTGGCGCAGGGCACGAGCCCCAAAACTACTGGGCAGTAGTTGGGCCGCATGGCTGGTGTGGTGCGTCAGGCCCCAAACTACTAACCACTAGTTTAGGTGTAATGATGGTGCGACACCCCACCCATCTACTCAGATTGTTTACGAATTTTCTTGCTCAATTTCAAGGCCTAACTCCTCTAGAATCAAATGATTTTCTCCCAACTCTTTTTTATTCATAAACCAAGCACAAATTCAACAAATTCCCACCCAAAATCCGTACTTATGAATGGGGTTAAAACTCAAGAACTTCTCAAGAAACTAAATCAATCAACTTCAAGAACGAATTCATGGATGAAATTACATGATTGGCATGAGTGTGAACAAACCCAATACTATGAAAGCTTGCATACCTCGAAGAACACTTGTTATTGGCGAAATCCTCAAGTTCTTGAAAGAACTCTTGAAACTCTTCTCCTTTCTCCTCTTGAACCTACTTTAAAATCCCTAAACGCTTTTGGAATGTCTAAATTAACCTAGCGTCTGTTTTGACCCATAACTTGGGTGGGTAAAATGTGGGTAGGCCTTTAGGGGTAAGGAAAAAACCATCTTTCCTTAATTAGATGAAAAGCTTTAACTAGAGAGACTCCACTCAAACAGGCATAACTTCTTACTCCTAGCTCAAATTTTAGAAAACTCGGCGGCGTTGGTGTTAAAAAGTCAGAACAAGAATAATAACCATTAACAATAGAAAAATATTAAACATCTCAACTACACTAAATAATTTCAAAAATCACAATTTCGAGATAGTTAATATATTTGAAACAATCAAATAAAAGTGAATATAATGTAATGCAATGATCATGTATGCAACTTGTATACCCACTATCTCCAATTTAGGATGTCCATGAGTCATGAACCTTGGGACACTCGCGAAATCCATATATCTTCTTGAAGCCAATTCCAACAAGATCACACAGGCAACCAATCATTTAAGGTTGAAATAACATCACTCCGTCCGACACCAAATCCAACCAAATCACTTTGGTTATAACCATATAATTCATTATGAAGAATTTGCATTATATTAGATATCGTAGGAAATCATGAACTCCAATATTATTTACAATACACTACAACACTTGTGGATTCAATCCATCAACCACGTATTTCAACAAAGTTCCTATAACATAGTGTAAAGACTAAAGATTGCGGTAATAACTTTGAGATGTAAAATATATGATTAAAGCACAAAGATTATGTCTCTATAATAAAATGCACCGTTCTCCGGTTTTAATTTGGTTTCTAAATATGCACTCAGTCCCTAAAGTATCACTCATTCTTTCTCAAGAGTTGAAAAATCCATCTAAATGTGATGTTCCTACAACCATACGATGTTACAGAATTTTCATGGACGTCTTTCATCTTCCCTTTTTTAAGGCAGTTGTTATAATTATGCTTTAGAATTGTAATTTTATTTTATGAATAAATTCTAGTTAATAGTTGGCTATCTAGTTTTTGTAATGATTCACAAGGTCATAAATTACTATTTTACCCCTTTACATGCCCTAAATCTTTTCTAATTAGTTTGTGGAGTTGGTTTTGAAATTTTATTGAAAAGTTGTGGTTTTTAAAAGTTTTGGAGTTTTGAGAGGCTGAAGTTAGTTAAAACTGGTTTTTGGTATCAATAAGTTCACAATCATAATTTTAGTTTAGAACTCAAGTTATTGAAAAACCTTGTCATTTACTAATCAAAATCTCAGGTTTTGATGTTAAAATCCATAAATAATCAAATGGAAAAGAAGTTTTAGGGTCACAAAAGCTCACCCAAATGATTTAGCATAAGAAAGCTCTTCCAAATCTCCTCCAAGGATTTTACAAAGCTTAAAATGGGGAAAAGTGGCTAAAACCCCAACTAGTAACTCACTTTAAGATTAGAAGTACCATACTGGCAAAACACAGGAGAGATGTTGGGTATATAAGTAAGCAAGTCTTACCAACTAGTAACTCATTTTAAAGTCGTGTGGGCCTAGGCCCAAAGCGGACAATATCACTAGCGGGATGGGCCGTTACAAATGGTATCAGAGTCACTATTGTGTCAGCCTTGTTGTTGTGGGCCAGAGTTTAACTGAGTTTCGACAAATCCCGGTAAGGCGGGGTAAACCTCAGTGCTGAGTATATGAAAATCCCATTCAGTGGGGAAAACCTCAGCGAGGCCGCTGAGTCTAATGAGGGGGTGTATGCGAGGCCCCAACTTAATATTAGAAGTCCCACATTGGCAAAACACAGGAGATATGTTGGTATATAAGTAACCAGACCTTACCAACTAGTGTGCATTTTAAAGTCGTGCAAGCCTAGGCCCAAAGTAGATAATATTACTAGCGGGCTAGGCTGTTACAGGTTCAGAAAAGTGAACCCCGAAAAAACTGGGGGTCTCACTTTTGTGACCATTAAGATCGTGACCCATGGTTTGCTTAAGCGAATCCTACCCAAAAAGAGACCTTCGCTTTGGCGACTAGGATCTCGCTTTCGTGATCCTCACCATCGCGAGGTACCCTTTGCGAAAGCGATGAACACTAACATCAGACAACCAATAAATGCTCAAAACATCGAAAGGATCCTCGGGATTCAATCGAAATCCTGTACACACAACTCATATATGAAAATTGACTATACTCAACGTTTCGAACTCAATGAAACCGTCAAAACACAAATATGAGGTTTCCTTGACCTGAAACACATGAAAGTCACAAGAAACCGACACAACACCTAAAAAGGTCAAATTAAGCTTAGGACCTCTGAAAATTCAACCAAGACCTCACTTAGGCCTAAAACCATCCCCCGAATCGAATGAAACTCTTAGAATTTTGATCCGAGCATCCGAACCTCCAATGTTGACCAAAGTCAATCCAAAGGCTAAAATTTTATAAATCTCCAACTTAAGACCTTAAATCCTCAAAAAGACTCCGAATCTTAAACTGACAACTCTGATAGACCAATTTTCAGATTGCGAAATGAATGGAATCGATGGAATTTCAGTCTGATACTCGAACCTCCAAAAGACACCAAGAACTCATTTTTAATAACTTTAGCCTTCCAAACTCAAAACTTACAAAATTAACAACCATTTTAATCAGAAATTGAAACCAACTTTCAAAATTTAATCACTAATCACTCGGGGTCAATATTAGGAGAGACAAAATGGTAATTTTATGAAAATTTCCAAAAATAACCAACCGGATCATTACAAATGAGTTCAAGGAATTTAGTATCCGTACTTTGAGGAAGCTCTTACAACCACAAATGCATAGGATTAGACATGTGGGTAATTCAAAATGACAGTTGGACCACCAGAGGATATGGTACGGAATGAGGCTTCTCCTGTCTTAATCAGAGATCTTAAATTCAAGTTTTGGGGTATGAAAATCCTTGTTAGGGAGTAGTTCCCTCCAATAGGGACCTACACGACATGAATTTGGAATAATCCAATATAACCAGGCTCTAATGTAGATACCGAACACCGAGTGTCGAACGAGAAACAAAAAAAAATTGGAAGTTAATTGAAAAACCCACCAACGTGTCTATGATTTTATAGGAGAGCCTGCGAACCTTGCTATGAAAAAAAAGGGAAGATAAATGTAATATTGTAAGCCACAATAAATTGGTTAGAAAATATAACAATGGAATTCCAAGAACCTTCATGGTTAAATTTAAGATTTCATGCCTAAATTAATCTTCATGGTTAAATTTAATTAGCTAACTATTGAAATTCAAACTGTACCAAATAAATAAAATAAAAAGAAGTGACTTTTGTTTGATAAACTTAATGTTGGATGGACCATGGGTGAAATATATTGGAGCTAAAACTCATGTTTAAAAACTTGTTGGCTCTCGAAGTCTTCCATATTATTGTAACATTAGCTGAAGCAACATTAGTATCTTTGCTTCTCTTCTTCTCCATCCTTTTTATTCTAGTTAGTAAAAGCAAAAAACAAATAAAGTTGCCTCCAGGTCCATGGAGACTCCCGTTTATTGGAAGTCTGCATCATTTAATCGGAAGAGGACTTCTTCATCGCACTCTTAGTAATTTAGCACAAAGGTATGGGAGTGTTATGTACTTACAACTCTGGAAAATTCCTGTAGTGATCATATCATCACCTACTATTGCAAAAGAACTTCTAACAATTCACGATCTAGCCTTTTCTGATAGACCACAATCTACGTCTACAAACATCATATTTTACAATAATGAAGACATTGCATTCAGTCTTCATGATATGTACTAGAAAAAAATGCGTAACATTTGTAATGTACAACTTCTTAGTGCAAAGATGGTCAAGTCCTTTGGTAGGATTAGAAAAGATGAGATTTCAAGTCTTGTTTCATCAATTCATTCCACGAGGAGTTCTCCAATTAACATGACATAAAAGATCTTTCAGTTTACCAACTCTGTCACTTGTAGCGCAGCCTTTGGGAAAATGTTCAAAGATCGAGATATGTTTATAAAATTGTTGAAGGATATATCTTTTTAGTGTCAGGATTTGATGTGGCTGATTTGATCCCTTCTTGGAAGTTACTTCGCGAACTTAGTGGTGCGGAATCTAGATTGATGAATTTCCATAAAAAAAGTCGATGAAATTATGGAAGATATCACTACAACAAATATGATATATAGCTACGAAATTATTAGCTACGACATCAAATTCATCACTAATTGTTCGCTTTTAGTGACAAAATTTATTTTTCGTGCTTAAATATATGAGACACATACTTTTAGTGACGAAACATAAAAATCCGTAGCAAAGTTTCGTCTACTAAAGTTTCCCACCAAAAAATTAATTGGCGCCATTTGTTAAGTAGTGTTAGCCACGAATTTAAAGTTATCGGTGACACATTATTTCGTCACTAATAATGTATCTAATTCATGACAAATTATTTTTGTCGTAAAATTTATTGATTTTCTAACCCAAAAAAATTTCATCTAAAAAAATATGTTGTTACAATATCGACAAATTAGAATTCGTAGTTAAATATTTTAAGTTTTAGCTATAAGAATTTAGCTTTAATTATGATATTTATTTTCGTCACTAATAGTATAAATAATTGGTGACAAAGATTTTACTGTCTCTAATCAATATGTGATTTAGTGACAACAAAAAAATTGTCACAAAATATGTAAGGTGTTAAATAGCGACGACTTAAAAATTTGTAGTGAATAATTCAAGTATTTTCTACGAAAAAATTCATAGCTAAATACAATTTTTTTTTCTACAATTGTTCATAATTACAAGTGACAACTTACAAAAAGAATAATATAAGTGTTTCATAAGAAATAGACAGAGTCATTTCGTTAATTGGCGAGGGAAAATATTAAAACCAACGAATTCGGTCCATTTTGTAAAAATGAAAAAGTTCAATTCATGAATTTTCTTAAATTACACAATTATAAAATGCATCATTTCAAAAATACAATCCAGGTTATAAGTATCGTGAGTGTGGTACGATTATGCCTCTAGATCACTAATATTTGTTGGTTTAACACTTTTGTTTTTTATTTGATACACTTTCATCGATAAAGACGATAGAAAAAATAATTTCTCAAGTCTTGGTGCTAATTTTTGTGTGTGTCTATTGATTTGTGATTGGTAAACTACATAGACTAAGTCGATCTATTTGCTTCTGTCTAAAAATATGTAGCTATTTAATAGTAATTCCATAAACGCAAGTAGATCAACTATACAGAGATAACATCGACTTACAAACTTAGACTTTGCAAAGGTGCGAAATATTTCATGAATTTCTATTAACTTTTTCATCAGTGTGAAAATCAAAATAAACTAAAAAATGAAAGCACAAATGAAAGAAATGAACAACCTAGAATTTCAAATATATTATGATGAAGTACTATAGTTATGGGTATCGATGTTTTTTTTTACAAAACAATTGATTTACTGACCGAATTGAACCGATTATTCAATTTTTAAAATAAAATCGAAAGTTTAATT